CATCCACCCCCTAATTTTTTTTAAATTAAAAAAAAAAAAAATTCAGGAAATTTAAAAAAAGAACTTTTTCCCCAAGATTTTCTCCTCAAGTGCATTTTAAACCCTTTGATATTTTTTCAAACATACAACATAAAAGTAGAGAAAATAGTCCAATAAATCATCACCTCCAGCCAGGTGTGGTGGCTCACACCTGTAATCCCAGCACTTTGGGAGACTGAGGCCGGCAGATCACCTGAGGTCAGGAATTTTCCTGACCAACATGGAGAAACCCCATCTCTACTAAACATGCATAATTAGCCGAGTGTGGTGTGGCACATGCTTATAATCCCAGCTACTTGGGAGGCTGAGGCAGGAGAATCACTTGAACCGGGGAGGCAGAGGTTGTAAGGAGCTAAGATCACGCCATTGCACTCCAGCCTGGGCAACAAGAGCAAAACTTCGTCCCAAAAAATAAAAATAAAAAAACAATATAAATAATTGCTTCCACAACCTTCAACTTTTCATATCTCATTTCTTTTGCATTCTCCATATACACACTCTTATCTCCTTGCTGGAGTATTTTAAAACAATCCCAGACATTATATAACCTCATGATATTTCAGTAAGTATCTCTAATAGATAAGGACTTAATTTTATTACAATGCATCTGCATCTACATACACACACACACAGACACACACACACGTGTCAACTGTGTAGTTTGTTCTCATTATCTGAGGTAATTCTGTTCTACAAGGTTGCTACAAACACTGAATTAGTAAATACTGAACCATTGTTTCTAGGAGAAATTACGAGGTTAGGTGTCTGTGAGTCTGCTCACAACATTTTCATCAACTGATCAATACATAACCTCATTTTATGTGTTTCTGTTTAAAGACACCTTATATAATTTGTTGATTTATCAACATTGAACTCGAAGCCAACAGCACTATAACTCCTGCCTAAGGGCACACCTGTTTCCTCCAATAAGGCACATTTATCTTACACACCTATTTTCTCCAATAAGGCACATTTCTCGGCTGGGGAACACCAGACAGCACTTCAGCACTCCACTTGGGGCCTTTTAAACAGTTAAATCACCAATAAAAAGCACAAAAATGCAAAAAAACATGGTACAAACTAGAGCTCAAAAAAGCATATTTATTTATGGTATGAAAGCTGAAACTGGAAGGCAGAGTCTCCTTGTTCAACTTCAGCTGGGAATGTGCACATTGGTTGACTCAAATTTTTTGGTGCTCTGTGCACGCACATATCTGCAGATGACTGTGACAGTGAAGTACTGATTATGATGTTACAAATAAGTTTTAGCAACTAGCTGAGTTTGTCAATACAGAATCCAAGAATAGGGACGATTGACTATACCAACATATCCCCAATAGCACTAGCACATTTAATAAAATGAACAGTTATCTGTGCAATGTCCCACAGAACCCCTAAGTAATATTTGGGATATACTTAAGAAAAAAGATTATCTGAAATTCAAGTTCATCTGAGTACCTTATATTTTATCTGGCCATCCTAGTGACAATTTATTGGGCATTTACTATGTGCCAGCCACTTTTGCATCCACGATCTTATTTAATTCTCATACCAGGGCTGTGAGACTGGTGTTCTTACCTCTGTTCTGCAGCCAAGGTTACCGCACATGCCCATCGTGTCATTGCTAGGAAGTAGTGAAGACCAGATGAAGATATGGATCTACAGGGCTTTTGCCCTTTTAATCTGTCATGCTGGATACAGGAGGGCAGTGGATTAACAAAATACAACAGGCCAGGCACAGTGGGCTCATGCCTGTAATCCCAGCATTTTGGGAGGACATGGTGGGTGGGTGAGGTCAGGAGTTCAAGACCAGCCTGGCCAACCCAGCGGAAACCCGGTCTCTACTTTAAAAAAAATACAAAAATTAGCTGGGCGTGCTGGCACGCACCTGTAATCCCAGCTACTGGGGAAGCTGAGACAGGAGAATCACTTGAACCCAGGAGGCGGAGGTTGCAGTGAGACGAGATCGTGCCTCTACGCTCCAGCCTGGGGGACAGAGTGAGCCTGTCTCAAAAAATAAAAAAACAAAGAGCTGGGCGTGGTGGCTCACGCCTGTAATCCCAGCACTTTGGGAAGCTGAGGCAGGCGGATCATGAGGTCAGGAGTTCGAGACCAGTCTGACCAACATGGTGAAACCCCATCTCTACTAAAAATACAAAAATTAGCCGGACATGGTGGCACACGTCTGTAATCCCAGTTACTCAGGAGGCTGAGGCAGGAGAATAGCTTAAAACAGGGAGGCAGAGGTTGCAGTAAGCTGAGATCATGCCACTACACTCCAGCCTGGGCCACAGGGTGAGTCTCAAAAAAAACAAAAACAAAAAACAAAGAAAACAAACAAAAACCACACAACATTCAATACTGAAATATAAAAGTAACAGTAAGTGTCAGTGGGAGGTCAGGGAAGACCAGGATGAGTTGAAG